AATGGGTTAGGGTTAGCGTTGCGTGACGAGCCCAAACAACGGCTGCGAAGGAGACTAATGGTAATGTCGTGCATGAACTTATGAAAATGCAAATTTTATGCATTACTGAACAGTTTTTCTTTTCTAAGGACATTTTAACGATAACTCCACAGATGATGGCCGGCGATTCAGGCCTCTGCTAAGACGGGAAAATTTGAGAACTTACTTTTAACGAGGAAGGAAAGATTATCTCGGTTCACCTGTACACGAGCAAAAAGAGTTTCGTATTAATTAAGTAGTTCGTGTAAATTTCACAAGAGTGTCTACGGCGGCGCCACGGCATCTTAAGAAAATTGTTCGGAGTTAAATTTAAAAGATGATGTGACATTAAAATTTCGGGTATTGCCATGGCCATCTCTATTGTCTATTTTGCTCTATTCTCTTCCAAAATTTAGTTGAATATCCCCACCTGTCCGAAAGTCGTAACGAGGTAATGGCATTACCGGATAAGGGTTAAAATTTTCTTTTTTCATTTTACGCCTAACGACTAACTTTTTTACCTTTTTACGGTGAAGTTAGCACTTACTTTTCTCTTAAAAATGCTGTATGCCTCACCGTGCCTCACTGAGACTCAGCTCCTGTCAGTGATTGCGCTTACTTTTCTCTTAAAAATGCTGTATGCCTCACCATGACATTAATGATATTTGAGCTTCATTTAACTTCTCAAGTACAGTTATGAATGGGCTAAATTTGTTTGTGGCCTCGTCTTTGTCTCAATTTATGCGAGATAATGCGCCCATATGGAAATTCAGACGAAAAACGGTTTTTTTGCCTTTGTTTAAGCGCAAATGGTTTTTTTTCCTGAAAGCATCATCACGGAATCTGCACCTTTTCGTTCGGGATCATCACATTTATAAAAAACTGAAAAAAGGTAACAGGTTGCAGAAAAGAAAGCAATTTCTTGCAAAGAGTAAAATAGCATTCTATTCGTCTGAAGTTCCCATTTTACATTTAAGATAAGCGAATCGACATCATACATCATGACAGAATTCTATTGTAACGAGTCTTTCCAGTATTTTCCCTCTAACGCCGACTTTAAAGATCTACGTCCAATCATCATTGCCAATTGTGTCTTCAACAATTTTTCACTTATACTGCCATCATATTGAACATTGTGTCAATCTACGCGATACGCAAAACTTCGACAATTGCAAGACCTTTAAAATCTCTTTTTCTGAACCTCGCCTTTTCTGATGTCGCAGTTGGTTTATTTGGTCAACCATTTTACACTTCACTTCTTGCCAAGTGGTTACAAATGGAGAATCCAAGCTGTAAGGCTTACCAAATCCTGAGTATTTCTGGTATTTTATTTACAGCTGCTTCGTCCCTAGGTGTTGTAGCTGTAAGAGTAGACAGGTTCTTAGCTGTTCATCTTCACCTCAGATACCAGGACCTTGTGACTCACAGGGGGAGCAGGGTTGGCGTAGTTGTGAGAGCGCTCGCCTTCCACCAATGTGTCCCGGATTCGATTTCCAGACCCGGCGTCATAAGTGGATTGAGTTTGTTGGTTCTCTTTCTCTACTCTGCTCCGAGAGGTTTTTCTCCGGGTAGTCCGGTTTTCCCCTCTCCTCAAAAACCACCATCATTTGAATTTATTTAAGTTAGAGTTTATTTGCATTTACACACGACCCCACAAGCTGTTCAGCTTTAAACATTATCGTGTCTAAATAAAGGTGTTATTATTATTATTACAAACGTGTTTTTGTTGTAGTGATCTCTATATGGATGTACAGTGCATTTGTTTCTTCAATAATATTGTGGGGGCTGCGTAGCACTCGGGATGTTTTTATGTTAGTAAGTGCAGCGGTTGGCTTCACTTTCACATTCGTGTTTTACATCAGGATAAAGAAAACTGTTCGACGGCACAAGAATCAGATGCAGTCCGAGCAAATAAGGGAAGGAGCTCAGTTTGATGAGATAAAAACTTTGCTGTCCTCACTAAATCTACAGTTGGTATATTCTGCGTACATCTCGTGTTTATGATTTGTTTTTTGCCTTCATGTATTAGCTCAGCTGGTTTCAGAATCCATGGATCGAGCATCGCTTTGAAAAAACTTCATCTTTTTTCAGTGACTCTGATCTTTCTTAATTCATCTCTGAATCCTGATATTTACTGCTGGAAAATGAGACACATTCGCCACGTTATCATGGACATACTACGAAACACGTGGCGGAGCTGAATTGGGCCAACTCGCTTTATTTACAATCGGTCTTCAAGTGTTGTCCATAAAAAGCGCATTTGATCATGTATATGGAATTTGCGCTATATAAATTTCAATTATTACTGTTATTATTATTTTTTTGTTTTCACTGGCCAACAGGCGCTGATCACAGCACACGCGAAGAGGTGCACTTTGTTTATAACTTGCAGTATAATTGATATTGCTACTGCCGCCTTAACTCCGTCTCCATCTTCAGCCTTTTCTTTTCTTTTTTTTTATATATTCATATTATTACTATGGTAACAAGCAGTATTAATTTATACCACGCAGGTGAATAGTGCTTTTCGCGCGCGCTGATTGGTTAGTTCGGAGGTGAATAACAAGTATAATTCACCTCCGGGCAGCCGATGCGACAAAATCGCGCGACAAGAGTTTAATTTCCGACCAGCAGTTTACGGCATACTGAAAGCAATAAACTTAACTTTTTTGGTATCTGTGCGGTATATACTAAAACGATATTCACCTCCACTCGGTGACGAAATAATCTTTAATTATTCTCTTGGCCTATATTCTCCCTGCAAATGACTCGATTTTCATTTCTACTACAAAGTTTGTCAGTTTAACGTCTGGCGAGTGGATGGTATTTTTTTGAATGCCATATATTAATAAAAATGCGATTTTTATAAACTGATAGTTTCCTGAGGACAGAAACGGGCAGAAACGACAGTCTTTCCATGAAAACGACAGCAGTTCAAGCGGTGGCTTTAATTTGACATTTTAACAATACTAGTCCATAAAACCATGGCAGACCGTTGATTCCGGCGTCTCTTACGAAGGGAAAACTTGAGACCTTGATTACATGCGCGCAGCAATTGGAGTTTCGTGTCAATTAGATGGATTTTTTTTTGTATTTCAAAAGAGTAGACAGTAAGAGTAATTAAAAATATTTAAATAGGCGACGAAACGTCGTAAGAAAATTGTGTAAAATCCATTTTGACCGTGCAATATGGCATTTAGTATTCAGGCTTCTGAGTCTTTAACATCTTTATTGTTTATTTTGCACTGTTTTTTTTTCCTTTTAACTCAGTTGAATATCCTCGGCTGTCAGCGTGTTAGTTGCACCTTTTCTCTTAAAAATCGCGTATGTCTCTCCATAACATGAATGATAATCGAGCTTTCTATATAGACTCCTCAGTTGTAAATGGGCTAAAAATTGTTTTTGTCTCAATTTATGCGAAAGAATACGGCCAATTAGAATTCAAACTACAAAGAAGTTTCAATTTTGTTATGCAAACCAGTCATTCTCAATAAACAGTACGTACATCTTTTTCTTGAGCCATAAATGGGCCATAGGTCAGACAAGCTGTTATGGTAAAATCATCAGGAAAACTGCCTCCTTTCGCAAAGGATCATCACCGCAAGAAAAAAGTTGGGTCAGTGATCTACTTGTGTCGATAACCTTCTTTTTCGTCTGAAGTTCCCATTTTTTATTTAAGATAATTTAGCGAGTTAATATCATGTACGACTTCTATTGTAAAGAGTCTTTAAAGTATTATCCCTCCAACATCGACGCAAAAGATCTTCGTCCAACCATCATGGCCAACTGCGTCCTCAACAACTTTCTCACTCATACCGCCATCATGTTGAACATTGTGACAATTTACGCAATACACAAAGTTTCGACAATGGCTAAACCGTTAAAAACGCTTCTTATGAACCTCGCTTTTTCAGACGTTGCTGTTGGTTTATTTGGTCAACCATTTTACACTTCACTATTGGTCAAGTGGTTACAAACGGAGAATCCAAGCTGTAACGCTTTTCTAATTTTTAGTATATCTGTTGGTTTATTTTCAACTGCTTCGTTCTTAGGAGTTGTAGCTGTAAGTGTGGACAGGTTATTAGCAGTTCATCTTCACCTCAGATACCGAGAGCTTGTTACCTTCAAACGCGTTGTTGCTGTGGTCATCTTTATATGGGTGTACAGTGCATTTGTTTCTTCAATCATTTTATGGGGGCTGCGTAGCACTCGGGATACTATTAGTTTCGTAAATGTAGCTGTTGGCTTCATCCTCACATTTGTAATACACATCAAGATATATTTAACGGTTCCACGGCACAAGAATCAGATGCAGTCCATGCAAATACGAGAAGAAGCTCAGTCTGATGAGGTAAAAAACTTTGCTGCTCTCATTAAATCTACAGTTGGCATATTCTACATTTATTTTGGGCTTAAAATTTGCTATCTGCCTTCCCAAGTAAGCACTGCTTGCACTATATTCTATGGCCCGAGCATCGCTCTGAAAAAATTTCATCTTTTCTCGGCGACTCTGATTTTTCTTAATTCATCTTTGAACCCTGTCATTTAATGCTGGAAGATGAAACACGTTCGACGCGGTATCATAGACATACTACGCAAGATGTCTCGTAGAAGAAACTAACCATCTCGCCTAATTTACAACCAGTCTTTTAAGTGTCGTCCATTTTGATAACTCAATCCCTGTCTGCAGTTAACAAACGCTGCGTGTAGTCTGTTTTCGCGGTAGAATAAACAGCCAACAACGCATAAAGTAAATGGTTAAGATAGATAAAATGCGCTCGGGTTATATTTTCCGTATCGATGTTTTCATCAGTTTTTAAAAGCAGAATAAAACGCACAAAACAATGAAATCGAACGCAGTGAACGAGGACCTTTGTTGGGGCCTTTCATCTCTTATTGATTTTCCAATGACTACAAGATGTTTGGCTAATTAGCATTCACATATCGTGTGCGTGTAAGCTACATGTATAGTCAACCAACACTGATAAGAAACTTGCGCATAAAAAATTCTTCAGGTGATACTCAAATTTATTGTCATGCATACATCCTTCCACAACACGGGATTCCCGCTGGTTCCCCTTCCTCCCCTTGTTTCGCCGAATTGTACGCAATATTTGGTATAGAGAGATAAACGCAGAAAAAAGTGAAAGGATCTCTCTGAAGTATTTGTATATTCTCTATTTTCAGATTATCAAAGGGGTTAAAAGTGTTTTTAATTCTTTTTTCTAATAATCCCTTCCAAATGAGACGAAGTTTACAAACTATTGTACTGCAATGCTAACTAAAATTCTGCACATTAGTGTCTTAGAAACCTACTTCTTCTCCCTATGGGTTCAAAAACAACTCACGGCGGAATCGTGCAGTGTTACAAATGGAATCATCTATGGCAACCGCGTTCCACATTTCATCCAAACTGGAGTAATTCTGCGTGGATACCCTCTCTCTAACTCAAGCCAGCCATCATCGAGTCTCCAATACTTGTCATCTTTGAAGAAATATGTTCTCTCGTTTCCATTCCAGGTAATGACAGAGTCCATATTGTGAGGCAAACCTTAAACGTCATGTAAAACAAAGATAAAAATTACAATTCCATTTCATGGAAGCCTACTTTCTTCGCCCGTCATCGCTGTTAAAACCACATTTGATGGTTTGAAAATTGAGAGATTTTACACAGAATTGGGAAGATTGCAAATTCTGAGCTTGGTCTTGGAATAAAGAAAGTTGTTATTCGTTTATGTGGGACCACTGAGTTCGAGAATTATCGAGCTCTCATATGCTACCACAGCAGAAAACCCTAAAATACGTTAGACTCAGAGTTATCCATTTCGTATATGACAAGCAGTCTGCGTTCTGCTTCGAAAAGTAATATTGAAAGCGTCGAATGTCATATCGCAGATTATTGAACTTTTAACTCCGAATGTTGCATTTCTGGTGCTCTGATTAGTTCGCTCGATTCTGGTTATTAGCTCATATTCCGAGTCACTTCAAATATCGCGCAGTGGTTTTCGATCACTTGAGAAAAGGAAAAAAGGAAACAGATAAGAAAACAAAAAAAAAAAGCACCAATTCAAGTCTTGTGATTTTCCCTTACCCCAAGCAATTATAGACTTTGGGTAGTTTTTGTCCACAGCCTTGTTGAACTCGTTATATCGCCAGTAGATATTCCCTTTGAAGAAATACGTTTTTTTATTGCCTCCCCAAATAAACGCTGCATCAAGATCACGCAGTGACGATGGCAGACCAATCTGACTGATGTCACCAGGACCCTCCTCGAGTATGGAGCCGTAATATCTCCAGTATCTTTACGGTAAAATAAAATGAAAGTTGTTATAACTAAGGTGTAGAAAGGAACGAAGAAAGAGAACGTAATGCGGTGTATTTCATATACGTTTTGGAAGGAGCAGTCATGACCCTTCCCCCCCCCGGCCCCACCTTCCCTAACTGAACATTTTCCTTTTTACATAACGCAAATATTTGATGCACACGGTTCCTTTCAAAGAAAAACTTTTTCATCGTATTCCTTACATGCTTCCTTTGAAAAACACTATCCTTCCGTCCGGATTGGTATAGGCGCTGTCGATGGGTGTCTCAAGTTCTTTCCATTTATTGGTTATCTTTATGGGGCCGCCTTCGACATTGAGAGAAGCTGAGAGTACCCAGAAATAATCTCCACTGAAAACGTACGTCCTGCCATCTGTACTCATCATAAAAGAGTCAAACTTATGCACGTTACAGATGTCCCCCACCAAGGGAGAAGATGAGGGTTTTTCTGTGACCTTCAGAGTCGTAACCTCCTTTTCTGCCACGGTGGTTACTGCTGGAGTAGTATCCGTGATAAATACTGCACTGGCTTTACTTGTTGTCACTTCTGTAGTTGCTGGAGCTTCAGTCTTTGCGGATGGCCTTGAGGTCGTACTTGGTCTGCCTGAATGTTGAAATAACGACAATAATGCATGAATCTTTAAGTCTGAAGCGGAATCTCAGCTTTATGATTGTTCACATTCACATTTAAAGTTGTCCATTCACATTCAAAGTTGTAGTTTAAATCAAACAATCACATACAAACTTTGATTGTAGTCAATTTCAGAGTGACATTAAACAATCTACGCCACCTTCGTCAGTCTATTAATGCAAATTTTTTTCTTTCTCTCATAACTTGGCTCTTATCAGAAATTGTAATTTTTATGATTAATTGGCAATGCGACTTCGTGTCGTCCAATTCGGTCTATAATCATACTCGTGATTTACAAATCGAACTTCCGCAGCACGGGCGTTCGATGTTGTTATAATTCGTATGATTACAGACCGAACTGGGCTCCACTCAGTAATATTACCAATCAAACTAGAACTAAAACCAGTCAGTTTTGTGTGTATCCTTTTTCTGGATTTCCACTTTGTTAGGATTAAGTTCGATTTCAGTAGTTTACATATGTCTTTACCTTAGATGAACATTTCCTGAGTACTCAGTCTTCTACTTACCAAACAGAGCTTGCAATTGTTCGATATCGCTCGGGCTAAGCTCGAGGTTCGAGAAATAGCCTTGGTACCATGGGTACATGACTGAGTAACGCACGTTGGAATGCTTCAGGCCTAAAGTATGTCCAAGTTCATGAAGAGCAACCCAATCCAAATTCATACCACTGCTTGTGTTTGTTGTGAAAGGTTCGCTGTCATCAAAATAAACCTCAACTCAAAAAAAAAAATAATAATAATAAGGATGGTTAAAGAAAATTGCTTGCGCATGCGTGTATATTAATTAGCAAAGAAAGCTTAAGCTTTTTATTCGTGTCTCATATGCTTTACATTTTAGGCGGAGAGGAGCGACGGCTAGATTAGTGACTTAACGTTGAATTAGAATAGCATGGAAAGGATTCGCCTTTTCTTTTAAGAGTTTGGTACAACCTGTTTTCACTCTCATTTGTCTCGTAGGACACGAGCAACATTTTCAAACTATAAGTTCAACTTACTCTTGCTATCATTCGAAAAAATCACTTCCCCAAATGTTCCTCCTTTCCCTTCAAATGGATACTGATAACTGCTGTTTGGTCGTGCAAATATAATTTCTATTTCCCTCCTCTGCTCCACGTTTATCGAGCGCCGCTTGCGGCACCTTTCCACTCCAGGGATCCTTTTTCTCCATACGCTAATCGTCCTAGCAATAAGACGTGCTTGAGCGTCTTCAGGCAAGGAGTTTGAGTACTGCTTGATTATGATGTCCTACGCAAAGAGCAGAGTTTGATTTATCATCGAATTCGAAAAGCGCATCGCAGCGGACAATAAAACTGTCTGAAGCGTGGAGCAACGTGCGCTACCCCTAGGAACTTTTCTATCCACCCCTCACGTTGTATAATGAAGAAAAACCAAATCAAAACCTCGAGTATGTTCAACCGGTGCAATTCAGTTCCGTTCACAAAAAATTGTTCGTTTTCACTAGGTTTTTGCGCTCAATCTTAAAGATTCTTTCGTCTCTACTTATCAAGGTGGAATCTTTTCAGCTGATCAGTTCATTTTAAATTTGGCATCGTTACACAAAACCCACTTCTGTCTTACCACTCCCTATGAAAGCACATGCTGCAAAATTGTTCCAATCACAATCATGCTATCAGAAGCTTCACCATAAAGTGACCAATTATCATTAATGAGCGTCGGCTTTAGGAACTGTTTTCACACATTTTTCATTTCTACTCACATTTAGCATTTTACATGCCCAAGCAATATATTCGTCAGTAAAATCACGTTTTCTTCTCCTTTTTCTAGCTTCGCCGGAGAAGGATAACTCCTTTTCTTCTCCTGTATTTCCGCATCGAGGAATCACAAACAACTTTTTGGTCTCAAAGTCCAACTGCCCAGTGACATTTATTCCAGCCATGTGCTGAACGAGAGCAATTTCTTTTTCGAGCCCAGGAGTTGGCGCACTTGATCCTTCCCCTGATGTCACCTTGTATTTCTTGATCCATTCCTGATGGGAGAATTTCAATTTTCATTGAGTTATATTTGGATTAATGAGTATAGAGCACTTGAGAAAAAAAACCAAGGAAATTTATATGGATCTACCTCTTCGAAAATCAAGATTAAAAAAATGGAGGAGCATGATAGAGTGCAAAAATAACCAGGCAACAGTCTTCGTGTCGGCAGCAAGGCCAAACGGCAAGTTGCTAAGCTTCAAACATATTTTTGGCAGATTTGCTTGTTGCCTTACTTGGATGACTGTTTCGAAAATAAAAAAAAGTAATACAAACCAAGTTTGAGTGATGGCACAGTTGCCATCATCCTTTATCTGCAACATCTGTGCCGGAGACCGCCTTTTGAAAGTAGGTCTTCACAGCTAATCTAGGACTGAAGTGTTCTAGCCGTAGAACTGAGCTTGGTGCTGCCTCGGCATCTCCTCCCGAGATGAAAGCATGCCGAAATCAAATTATGTTTGCACGAAAAAAAAGATGTTTTCTTTCAACGGGCCAAAGGTTGCTTACTACAGTACCTTTTCGGAAATATAAGACGTATAAACATCTAGAAATTTGAAAAAAACGTTCGTGTCTTTCAGACTTTCAGCCGCAAATTTTCTGTAGTAATCTTCTAAATCCTTGACTTTTATCTGCCTTTAACACCATGAAAATTCATAATTTCACCAGAGTCTTAGGCCAGGGTATCACCAGGTTGAGATAAACCATTTTAGATTGAGAATACTAGTTTTCATTTAGACTCTTAACACTGAAGTTTCTTTCTGTGTAAGGACGGAAATTTATAAATTGTTGGTATGGCCGCAACATATGTTCGAATATCATTCCTTCACAAGCCAACTTCCGTTGGAGATCGATTCCCTACATATTTTCAAGCAATGTGTTTGCAATTTTAACTGTTAGCATGGTGGCAAATGAGACTTGGGGAGGTACGTTAACCAAAACAGATGCGATGCTTGCCCATTCTATTACAGAAATTCTAAGTAAATGCCCAGACCGTAGCTTTGATTGGTGCGTGTTATCCAAGTAAGCTTTGTAATACCATAGGAAGAAACCAATTGGAAACAATTCAAGATTTAAAGTCCGTGAAGCTTCCGTTTGTTGATAAGTTAATGAACGACTTGGCAACCGATACGTCTAGTTGCCCTCCCCATGGGCGATTAAAACTTATTCAAAACAACAAAAATAACATTGACAAAACGGTAAAGCACACTACAAGGACAGCAAATTTTGGCTTACACACTGGTCAAATCATATATTGATAAATCTTTTTCTAAACTAAAAAAGAAAAGTTATCGCAGTTAACTGGAAATTCCCTTTGGCAAGGAAATTCCTCTTGGCAAGGAAAGAAAAAGAGATTCCCAGATCGCATGAACCAAATATTCTACCATCAGAGCAATGACAATGTAAAATTTTTTTTTTTTATTGTGGATATAGGCACTGTGCTTAGCTATAAAAATGTGTTTTTTATTTTTACTTTTCTTCATATTTAAAAGTACCTTTTCTCGGCTGTAACTGAATCAAACCATTCGCTCTGACACAAATCAAACGCTCGAAACGTCAGCTTTAAAGCTATTTACGATGGCCAGTGTACATTATCAACTCAGTTGATAAAACCAAATTATTTTATCATACTCCCCTCTCTGACGCAGAACCAGAGTTTCTTTAGAAACTTACCCCCTTGATGTCCCTGAATTAGAATCCATGCCAATAAGGTTAACAAGTGTCTTGTTTACAGTTTCATAATTATAGGTATTGATTTCTAGTCATTATTTTGGAGAATGGTCTGATCTCCGCCATGAATATGCAATACAGACATTGGAGAAACATGGAAGCAAAAAGTCAAATTACCTCGGCGTCCTCGAGCGTCACTGCATCAATGACTGCTACGGGTGGTTTGCTTGAGTCAGGGAACGGAAGAGGAGCTGCTGACGTATATTCACTACAACAACAGCACATGAACAAACCGACAGCGAGGAAAAACCATGATGATCCCACATCTTTAGAAAAAATCAGCGTCTCCTTGAAATTCATGACCAAAGCGTACGGATGCAAAACTCCAATTGAACTTTGACTTAGGCTGTAAAGAATAAACAAAGAACCAAACAAGGTCTGCCTCGATGACAGGATGAAGTTACTAGGATTTAGAGGTTTTCATAAAATAGCTTCGAGCACTTAAACTTTCATTTGATGTTAATTAGACACGATACTTAATACTCAATTTCTATGTAATCAAAAACAAATTATTCCCTCTCGTGGACAATGTACTTTGATACTTCACGGTAATTATATTACTGGTTTTACGTCACAATGAAAACATTCAGAGCGATCCTCCGAAGCGGGATGTAACTCATACAGTATGTGGCTTTTTACCACATGTGCAAGCACTTAGGCCCTCAGAGGATCGTAATTTCCTACTTGCGAAGATTTGACCAAAACAGAAGATAAAGATAAATTAATAATCTCTTGGTCAAGTGTTGCACGGAGAAAAGAGCGATCCGATTAGAAGTGATGATCGAAATCAAGCAGCATGAACCGCCGTTAACAACCATCACGACCAGTTGACACAATTCGGATTAGTGAGCAACAATTTGATGTCTTTGGATGCCAAAACTTCTCAAAAATCTTCGGGATAGAGCTCTCAGTGCTAATTTACAATCTTTTTCTATTAAAAAGGTGGGCGGAGTGAGAGTTGGAAGCTAATCGAAGAATTACTCTTGATCTCAATGAAGTGAACAAGAGATAGTGAGAATTTACTATCTCATCGCCCCTGTAATAAATGGATGATTGGCGTGCATGTTTTCGGGCCAAAAAATATAGCCTTTCCTCTTTTGCATACGGTGCCAACTCAGCAAAATCGCTGAAGGGTAGGTATTCTTCTATACTTTTATTTTTCCCATGGTTTTCTTTTGCTACCAGAATCGAAAAAGCTTGTTCAGAATGCCGCCCATTTTAGCATAACATTTCCGGCCTCAAACGTAAGGTCGGTGAACATGGCTGGCTATGGAACAATATTCAGTTTGCGAAACCCATTTTCAGCCCTCGACCCTCCTCTAGGTCAGTGAAGAGGATCACAGCACAGTTGAGACATATTCTGGTCTAAAAGGTGTGATTTACGCCAGCATTTACTTTCTCACATGCCACGCACGTACCTCGCTCGCCTGAGTCAAGAAGACTAATCCCATCAACTACCTTTGTCTTACTTGGTACAAGATGCAAATGAAAATAAAAGGGGAATTATTCGAATGTAAATAAAGCTAAGCATAGCTGCTAAATATAACTGCTAAACTTGATGTTTTTTCGACGATGCATTACTTTGATTTGAACCTAGGAAAACAAATCGTAATGGTGGTCTTGGCATTTTTGTTTTTGAAACAGAGGAAGTCGTCTAAATTAGGATGCTATTTTCATTTCAAACATTCTTTTTAGTAAGGTTATTTACTTCTCAAGAAATCCACTGTTTGCCGAACCTTATTTCATAACAGAGTTAACTCTTTATATTTATATTGCAAAGGCCTAATTTGGGGGCTGAGGCTAAACGTTCTTTACTTTTTGAGATTCGAGCTTTAAAACGTTCTTAACCATAATGCTCTTAAAGTTGTATGGTATAGTATTACAATAACTCAATTCGGACGTGACCTTTATGCTTTTCACACAAAAAAAGAGCAAAACAAAGACGTTCTTAACGGACTCTCAAGCTGGATATGTTCTTGGTATACTTTAAAATTTTGGTTTATCTCAGCGTAAACGTTCTTTTACAAAAAAGGGTTCTCATAAAAAAAAAAAGAGTGTAAGCTGAAATACCATCTGCACGAGTACTATATACACGCTTCATTCCCATGACGAGTCTATGCTACTTCATTGCAGACATTAATTTGCCTCAACGTTAAATTTCTCTTAACACGTAATCGGACTGGCCGGGTCGTGCTTGTTTGTTTTCGTGGGGTTTTTTTTTTCTTTGTTTGGCTTTCAAAATGATACACAGATGATGATGACAATTAAAGAATCAGAGAGTGTCAATCAGTCAATCAATCAATCAATTAATCAATCCGCAAATATTCACTTGAAGATTTTTATTTTTGTATTTTTACATTGTTGAAGCTTGAAACCATAGCTGTGATACAAAAACTCTTAATCTTTGTATTAAGCTGCCTATGTAAGGAATTACAACAGTTAAAGCATGCTACACTAGTTTACCCAAAGTTAGAAGATATGCTTGGTTAGGAAATGCTACATATCAACCCACATAAATATTTGACAACGTTGGGTCTTTTTTGACCTGGCCGTGAAAAACGTTCAACAGCATTCCAATCATTTTGAAGAACATAAATTGCTGCACTTTTTTGCTGCATATGATTCTTTACAGTAGCTTTCACAAAAGTGTTTTTTGGAAATATCTCCGGGTATCCCTTCGAATGTTGTTTCAGATGAGATTTCCTTTAAAAAGTCGATCGATCGAATAACGCCAGTAGCAAAAGAAACCCACTCTAGTACACTTTTTTATTGCTACAGGCTTTGCACGGTCATATTTATCCAGCATAGTGGCTTGGAACCTAGATCGGAATACTCACTCAAACGGCATCCAAGTTCTCCACAAAATTAACGCATAGTTTTTTAAAAATAAAATCTTGTCTAGTGTAAAACTTTTTTGCTGAGGATGGATATTTTATGTATATACTAGTATGACAAACGACGTCTTATCAAATATATTTTGCAAAGCGTTTGGAAAAATAAATTTCACTCTAGCAAGTTTTCCGAGCGTGAAAAGTGTCACGACAAGTGTCACGACAAGTGTCACGACAAGTGTCACGACAAGTGTCACGACAAGTGTCACGACAAGTGTCACGACAAGCGTTCTTTTATTAAGCTAATGGCAAATAATTTCTTGCTTGCGTTAACGAAGCTTAAACTAACCTAGCTTATCTAAATTTTAAGATCGATGGTATCAAATTCCAAGTATGTTGTTCTTTCCTTGCTGTGCGGGAAAAGTTCACTGTAAATTTTTTTTTTTTTCAACCTGTTTAAATCTCAATGCATCGCATCCAAGCAGGACCGATACTACGCGGGTATCCAGAGTCTATTTTAAGTTTGCCATCATCAAGCCTCCAGTACTTGCTATTTCTGAAGAAGTAGGTTCTGTCATTTCCTTTCCATGTAATGGCTGAATCCATTTGATGAGGAAGACCTTGAATGTTAATCAAAAGGCAAGTCATGAAAAATGTAATGAATTTGTAAACGGGAAACTACTTTACTTTGATGAAAAGGATATTTTCGTCTTTCCGGGAGCATGGGACGGAGATATAAATTCCGAGTTTCTTTGCTAATTTCATTACGTCCTTTAAATTTCTGTTTACTATGATTCTATGATTGAAAAGGCCAAATTAAGCAGTTATTCCGGTCGAGATTTAAACAATTAGCAAGTCAAAAGTTCTTTTACTTGTTGGTAATTTATTATCTACTCCCTACCTTTGGCTTCCTAAGGAGTCGAAGAAAACGATCATAACCTATACCAACAGCGACTTTGCTCGGCATGCAGGCATTCTATTTGCACGAGCAATACAGCGCAGTTTACTTCAGGACAGACCAATCAATTTACGCACTAACTAAAAACCTTACCCCAAACTGAAATAGATCTTGGATAATTATCGTCTGGAGTCTTTTTGAACTCGTTGTATCGCCAGTAGTTATTTCCTTTGAAGAAATACGTCTTGTCATTGCCTCCCCAAACAAATGCTGCATCAGGGTCACTCAGCGACGGTGGCAGACCGAAGTGAGTTATGTCTCTGGGACCTTCTTCGAGTATGAAACCATAATACTTCCAGTACCTGTAAAAAACATAAACGAGTCACACGAAGATAAAGTAATTTTTTCGCCCAAGCGTCGCGCAACCAAAAGTAAACTTAATACAACAGCTAATGGAAATCAAAAGAGAAACGTTAGTATAACAAGAAGACAAACAGAACTTAAAATAAATACAATTTAACGTACACCACGGCGGTAAAATGCGGATAGAGAGATTTAGCACCGCGTTTACGTTAAACGTGAATGGCAAGAGTGACCACGTAACCTTGTCCCCCCCCCCCCC